CGAGGATGCAAGACCCCTAATCTCAGTTAGCTGATTGTTGAACCCCATGACGCTGACTGACCTCGGGCTGCAAGACCCAGATTGAGTTCCCCATCCTTCTGAATGGTTGAACTCCGCAACGTTCTATTACAGGTTTCCCCCGCCCTTTCTTTAAAGATGTTCAAAGTTGGGAACTCAGAAAAATACCCTTGATGACCACCTCTGTCTTTGCAGAGTGGGTCCAAAGACTTGCACAGTCAGGAGGTCTGAGAGTGCGGGGGGGGATTATGGGGGTTCAGGGGCGCCCGCCCGGCTACCTTCCCGGCGCTTGAGCGATGGCGGCTGGGTCTGGAGCAGGCGTGGTTCTCCTTCCCGCGGTAGATCGGGCCTGGCCTACCTCCCGGTGCAAGGTTATGTTTTCCTTTCCCACTCATCTGGTTCTGTTTTTATCTAGGCTAAGCAAATTTCTGTGGCCTGAGCTCATCCAGGAGTCAGGCTTGATGCAAAATGGCCTTTTATCTTAAAATGGAGTAACTTTGATCTCTACACCTTCCTCCCAGAGTGCTGGGATTGCAGGTGTGTACCACTATGCCTGGCCAAGTTTCGGGATATTAAGCCCCAACTTGGGAACATTTGAGTTGCAAACTTTCACAGATGTGCTGTACAAGATTCACTTTATTGGTTTACAAATGAATCCAACTTCTGAACAATTCTCCCAGAACAGAACTTGTTTGTTTAAAAAAAAAAAAAAAAAAAAAAAAAAAAAAAAAAAGTAAAAAGGTGAAGTGGAACAACTAAAGAAAGGAAAGAAACAAGGAAAAGAGATAAGAAGCAAGAAGGGACAAAGGAAAGTTCTCCACACTCCATTAAACTGGCAAAGAAGAAAGAAGAAAAGGAAAGAAGAAGAAGAAAAAAAAAACCCCTAAAAATAATGTGCCTAGTCATAAAAAACCCCAAACAAACAAACAAAACCATAACCAGCTGCGTGCCATCAGCCCCAGTGAGGAAGGTGAGATTTGGAAAGGCCGCTCCAAGATCTATTCTCCTTCAGGCCTGCTTGGGCCCATTCCAAGGGACTGGGTAGCCGTTCCCTCCCCTGCCTGTGAGCCACCAGCTCCAGCAAGGAAGGCAGCACCTGAAACACCCCACCCCCACTCTCAGACCTCCTATTGTGCCAGTCCTTGGACCCACTCTGCAAAGGCATAGGTGGTCATAAAGGGTATTTTTCTGAGCTCCCAACTTTGAACATCTTTAAAGATTTTGGGGGGAAATCTGTAGTAGAACTGTGTGGAGTTCAACCCTGCAGGAGGTTGGGGTACTCAATCTGGGCCTTGCGGCCTGAGGTCAGTCTGAGTCATGGGGATCTGCCATTGGCTAGCTGAGATCAGGACAATTAGTTCTGCACATGGCTGCACACGTTGTATATTATGACAGCAGAGATATAGTCTGAAAGAGGCCCTTCAAATTCATTCATTCATTTTTTTTCTTTCCCTCATTCCACTCTGCAAATTCTTCCTTTTTTCTGTCCTCTTTCTCCAACTCAGTCTCTTGCTCCACCATATTATCCCTCATCTCCTTTTCTGTTCCTGCTCCTGCCCTAACTCAGACTTCTTTTATCATTTTTTCTTTTTTCCTTATGTTCTTTTCTTCTGTCATTTTACCTCACTCATGGGTCAATAGTTTCAAGGGAAATTGAGCCCCTATTACTGTTAAGGGGATATATTATTGTCCTTATTCTTGCACTCTATCCCTTTTGAATTTAATAGTTTCCTAAAGATTATATGGTCATTCTATGTCCTCTGGCTTCACTTGAAACGTTCTGCAATTCTTTCACTTATCTACTCCTCTCGCCCTAACTCTGTCTAAGCCCTCATCCTAAATAGTAAAGATGCTATATTGAAAAGTGTATTCACTGCAAACATATTTTGGGCTGCTTCTTGATTTTAATTTAATTCACATGGTTTAAAGGTGATAGATTAATGACTACCACAAGTGGTCACTTTGCAAGTTGTGCTTGATCCTATTGTGTTGCTGACTGTACCAATTGGCATAAAAGATTGTGATTGATTTTTTTTTTTGGTACCAGGGATCGAACTCGAGTCCTTGTGCTTGCAAGACAGGCACCAGAACCACTGAGCTAAATCCCCAGCTAATTGTGATTGACTTAATGAGTTGTTTTCTCCAATATTATGAAAATGAGAATGTCTATGAGTCATTAGAGACTCAAGAGCTAAAGTGCAACTATATCAGGAAGATTTAAGTAATAATCCAGAAATTAAACCAAGGATAACCCAACAACAAAAATGAAAATGAGAAAACAAGCAAGACACAAAGACAGACTTCCAGTTCACCAATGGCAAACAGTAGGGAAAATGAGGATGAAAACTCTGATAGTGAACCAGCAGGACACCTTGAACTCAGCACAGGAAGTAACAAAACAGATCAATCAGGGTCTAGAAAAATTCAAAACAGAAATAATTTCCCAGATAACCATAGAGATGGTGAGCAAAATGGAAGTCATGATTTGAGACTCTAGAACAGAAACTGAGAAAAAAAAATAGATGAGCTCAGGACCATGATAGAAGCCATGAAGGCCCAGCATAAGAAAGAAGTGCCCAACATAAGAAAGAATGAATGCCCAACAGAGGAAAGAAATGGAATCCATAAAACAGATTCAAACAGATATCCAGGAGATTAAAAACTGTCTATAAGTGGTTTGTTGCTTTTTTTCTAACTGCTTTTAAGGTTCTGTTTTAGTGTTGCACTTCTGGGATTTTGATTGTGATGTGTTTGGAGAGGTTCTTTCTTTATTCATCATGACTAGTTGAGGTTCTATATGCCTCCCTTATATGTATGTTAAATGCATTTCCTTATTTGGAAAAATTTTTGTTACATTTTTTGTAAGCAAGATTTTTATGTCATTTGTACTCTTTTTTGATTCTTCATTAACTTTAATGAATCATATATTAGGAGCTGTTGGACCCATTTTTATGTCCTCTTGTTGCTTTTAAGGTATCCATCATTAATTGGTCACTGATAACAGCACTGTCTTTACTTCTGACACTGTGTCTTCACATTGGTCACTTTGATGCCCATGTATTCAAAAATATTTTTCACCTCCTGAGCTTCAATTTGGAGCTTTTTATGGACTCTAATTCTTTTCTCTCCTGGCCATTCATGCTTTGCTTCATCTCATCCAGGGGTTTTTGTTTTTTGTTTTTTTGACACACTGTCATCATTTTTATTATCTGGCCTATTAGCTGTTTACTTGTATCTTCTGAGGCCTTCTCAAAGGCCTTATTGATCTTTTGTTATCTCCCTGATATTGTTTCAAATAATAATTCAGGTGTGTGGCTTTTGGTTTCCTCCCCTTCAATGACCCATCTATCAGTTCTGGAGGAGTTGGGAGTTTGGGGAGGCACTTTGCTGACTTATCTTCTCATGTTCCTATTTTTTGTTTCTTTGTTTTTGTGTTGAGGCTTATGGGATGATAGTGATGGGATGTCCTATGGGATGTCTACTTTGCAGTGGTGTCCTCTGGGCATGGCTGACTATTGACCATTTCCTCTTTCCCAAGATACAACCACCTCCATTTAATTGGGCTGGAAGATGGTAGGGTTTTGGCCCAGTAACTGGTTGTCCAGGAATAGCTCACAGTACTATTAATGAGCCAAGGCAATCCAGATATTGGCATCCCAAGAAATCTAATGAATAGCAACAGCTGTGTTTCCTTGACTCTAATAATAAAATCAGCATCAATTATAAGTGTCAAAGAAAAACTGAATGTTGCCAAATAATGTACTATGTTTAACCATACAAAACAGATCTATAATTACAGTATGAACATTAAGGCAAACCAAATGGCACAAATTGTCATTTTCTAAGCTGTGCTTGATGCTGTTGTGCTGCTGATTGTATCACTTAGGCTAAGGTGTTGTGATTGATCTAATACAACAGGAAGATCTAAGTTTTAATCCAGGAATTAAACCAAGGACAATACCAACAACAAAAATAGAAATGAGAAGACATTCAAGCAAGGCACAAGCACAAACACAGGCTACTTGCTCACCAAAGGAAAATTCTGGGGGAAATGAGATGGAAAAGTCTGATAATCAACCACCTGGACTCCCTGAACTGATAGCACAGGGAGTAACAAAACTAATTAATGAGGATCTAGAAAAATTCAAACAAAAATAATTTCCCAGATAACTACAGAGATGATGAGAAGAATGAAAGACATGATTAGAGACTCTAGAACAGAAACAGATAAAAAAAAAATACATGAGTTCAGGACAATGACAGAAGCCATGAATGCCCAGCATAGGAAGGAAATGGAACCCATGAAATAGATTCAAACATATCCAGGAGATTAACAACTCTATTGAAAGTGTACATAATAGACTGAGCCAATCTGAAAACAGAATTCCTGATATAGAAGACAGGATGGTGATCAGTGACCATGAAAAGAGAAATCTCTTAAAAATAGTAAAGGAACATGAGGAATCAATCAAACAGCTCTTAGATGATGCAAAGATGAATAATGTAAGACTGATAGGAGTCCATGAAAAAGCTGGAGAAAATACAAATGAAAAAAAAAACACAAAAAAAAATAAAAAATGGTGTTCACAGAATTAATGTCAGAAAGCTTCCCAAACAGAACAAAAGAATTTGACATATAGATAAGTGATGCATATAGGACTCCAACTAGCCATGATCAAAAAAATCTACACCTAGACATATAATAATCAAGATCCCAGAAACCCAATAGAAGAACAAAATACTACAAGCAGTTAGGGGGAAAAAAACAATCACATGCAAAGCAAAGCCCATCAGAATCACAGGAGTCTTTTCAAACACAAACCCTCAAGTCAAGGAAAACCTGGAGTGAGGTATTTTAAGCCCTAAAAGAAAACAACCTCAAGTGTCTCTGGGACCGTTGGCAGGGCAGGAGAGCTGCAGGTGTAAACTACTTGAGACCCCAGTGTTGCAAGCCAAAGAGCAGAGCATGTGGGCCAGTCAACATGTCGTGTTATGGGCAGTACGGAGGACAGACGAAGGTGTATGTTGGTAACCTGGGAACTAGTGCTGGCAAAGGAGAGTTGGAAAGGGCTTTCAGTTATTATGGTCCCTTAAGAACTATATGGATTGCAAGAAATCCCCCAAGATTTGCCTTTGTGGAATTTGAAGATCCTAGAGATGCTGAAGATGCAGTGCAAGGACTGCATGGAAAGGCGATTTGTGGTTCCCGAGTAAGGGTTGAACTACCAGCGGGCATGCCTCAGAGATCTTGCTTTGATAGACCACCTGTCCGACGTCCCTTTGATCCCAGTGATAGATGCTATGAGTGTGGTGAAAAGAGACATTATGCTTATGACTGTCACCGTTATAGCTGGAGAAGAAGAAGCAGGTCATGGTCTAAATCACATTCTCGATCCAGAGGAAGGCGATACTCTCGCTCACGCAGCAGGAGCAGGGGGCAGAGGTCAAGATCAGCATCTCCTTAAAGATCAAGGTCTGTGTCTCTTCATAGATCAAGATCAGCTTCACTCAGAAGATCTAGGTCTGGTTCTATAAAAGGATTGAGGTATTTCCAAACCTGGTCCAGGTCAAGATCAAGACCCAGGTCTCTTTCACCACCAAAAAGCAGCCGGTCAAAGTCCAGATCTCCATCTCCAAAAAGAAGTTGTTCCCCATCAGGAAGTCCATGCAGAAGTGCAAGTCCTGAAAGAATGGACTGAAGTCCTCAAGTTCACCCTTTAGGGAAAAGTTATTTTGTTTACATTATTATAAGGGATTTGCAACATCTGTAAAGAAAACAACCTCCAACCTAGACTGATGTATTCTGCAAAACTATCTTTCAAAATTGATGGGGAAATAAGATTCTTCAATGACAAAGAACACCTGAGAAACTTTATGAATACCAAACCAGCACTCCAAACAATTCTAAATAATATCCTAGAAAAAGATTATGAAGATCACAACTCCACGAGGCCTGACAGAGGAAATCCAGCAGGCAAGGCAAGAAATTAAAGGGAGAGGGATAAAAAATTAAAAAGAGCCAACAACAGGAAAGTAACATGATAATGATAAGTCAATACTTATCAGTTATAACCATCATGTTAATGGCCTCAATTCAACAATCAAAAGAAGTAGACTGGCAGAACGGATTAAGAAACAAAATTCAACAATATGCTGTATGCAAGAAACACCCCTAGTTCAAAAAGAAACTCAGAGACTGAAATAAAAGGATGGAAAACAGCCCTCCATGAGACAAGAACCCAGAAAAAAATCAGCGGTAGCTAAATTATAGCAAAGTAAGTATGAAAACAAAACTAATTAAGGCAAGCAAAGGTCACTACATGGGGGATGTCAATATCCCACTGTCACAAATAGATAGATCATCTAGACAAAAAGTCAACAATGAAATATTAGAACTGAACCAAGCTTTTGAACAAGTGGACTCAATAGATGTCTATAGAGTGTTCTACCCCACAAAATCAGATATACATTCTTTTCAGATGCACACTGGTTATTCTCCAAAATAGAACACATACTAGCTTATAGAACATGTTTAAATAAATGCAAAGGAATTGAAAGGCTGGGGTGGTGGCACATGCCTGTAATCCCAGCACTTGGGAGGCTGAGGCAGGAGGATCACTGTGAGTTCGAGACCAGCCTGGGCTACATAGTGAGTTCCAGGTCAGTCTCAACTATACAGTGAGACCCTGTCTCCAAAAAACCAAAAAACAAAACAAAGCAACAACAACAACAACAACAACAACAACAAAAAGCAAAGGAATTGAAGTTGTCCCATGTATGTTATCAGACCATAGTACAATGAAATTGGAGATCAATAACAAAAGAAACCTCAAAAACTTCACAAACATGGAAATTGAATAACACTCTCCTGAACAACCAATAGGTCACAGAGGAAATTAAAGAAGAAATTAGACAATTTTTACAAATAAATGATAATCAATACAACATGCAGGAATCTATGGGACACAATGAAAGCAGTTCTACAGGGAAATTTATAGCATTGAATACCCACACTAGGAAAAGACAGTGAGCTCAAATAAACAACCTAATGCTGAATCTTAAGATTTTAGAAGGGGAAGACAAACGCAAAGCTCATACAAGGGAGGAAATTATAAAGATCAGAGTAGAAATCAATACAATGGAGACTAAGAGAATGATACAAGAAAAAAATCAATGAATCAAAGAGTTGGTTTTTCAAAAGAATAAATAAAATGGATAAACACTTAGCCAACCTCACCAAAAAAAGGAGAGAAAAGGCTCAAATCCATGCAGTTAGGAATGAAAAAGGTGAAGTCATAGCATATTCAGCAGAAATCCAGAAGATCATCAATATTTACTTCAAGAATCTGTACTCTAATAAAATGGAAAACACAGAAGAAATGAACAGATTTTTATACATATGAATACGAAAGTAGAACAAAGAAGACATAAAAATTCTAAACACCCCAACTACAATCAATGAAATTGAAGATGTAATTAAAAGTTTACAAAGAAAATACCAGGTCCTGATGGCTTCACTACTGAATTCTACAAAATATTTAGAGAAGAACTATTCCATTACTTTTCAAAAGTTTCAATGAAAACTTTTCACTTCTGAAACTGCTATACAGATTCAATGCAATCTCTATTGAAATCCCAACAGTATAGTTTACAGAACTAGAGAAAACAATCCAAAAATTCATTTGGAACCAGAAAAGACCTAGAATAGAAAAAGCCATTCTAGGCAACAGAGACATGGCAGGGGTATCACAATTCCCAACTTGAAACTATACCACAAAGTCACTGTGACAAAAACAGCATGGTACTGGCAAGGAAACAGACCCAAGGATAAGTGGAATAGATTAGAAGTTGCAGAAAAAATTCCAGACATACTCAGCTACCTCATCTTTGACAAAGTAGCCAACTATCCTCACTGGAGGACAGAGAGCTTCTTTAATAAATGGTGTTGGAAAAACTGGATTATAATTTGCCAAAGATTAAAACTAGGGCTGGAGATTTAGCTCAGTGTTTCCACCATGTGCCTCAAAAGTGCAAGGTCCTGAGTTTGGCCCCCAGTATCAAAGCAAAACAAAACAAAAATATTAAAACTAGACCCCTTTCCTTCATCATGCACTAAACTAAAATCCAAGTAGATAAAAAAATATAAATATTACAAAAGACTAATAATAGTATGTTATGCATCAATAGCAGCAACAGCTTTTCCACTTTCTGCAGTCATCTGAACAAAATTATAGACATTCAGCACATTCCATTAAAAAACAAAAACCAAAGACAAGAATAATATCCAGACAACAGCAAAGTTCTGTTGCTGTTGTGGTACCTGGCATCATTTTTTCTATTAGCCTCTTAATCATCATCTGGAAAGAGAACATTCTAGAGTAATATCATTAAATGTAGCTCTGATAAAGCACAGTCCCTACTACGTATCATAAAGCAGGTACTAGATATTTTACATTCATAGAGGTATGATACAGTACTGTCCTACATCAATAATACTAGATTCAGTTTTGGTTTGAAATTTACTTTGCCTGCAAATAAGACTGCTACCCCTGTTTTTTTCTGGGCTCCTGTCACATGGAGAATTGTTTTCTATCTTTTCACTTTCAGTCTATGGGCTTCTTTTTGCACTAGGTGTGTTTCTTGTATGCAACATATTATTGGATTTTGCTTCTTATTTCATTTTGCCAGTCTATTTCTCTTGATTGGTGAGTTGAGGCCATTGACATTGATGGTTATAACTGATATGTACTGACTTATTATTGACATGATATTGGGCTTTTCTTCACTCTTTTTATTTTTTTCACCTTCTCCTTTTAATTTCTTGCCTTGCCTATTTGATTTGCTCTGTTGGGCCTCATGGTGTTGTTGCCTTCATTGTCTTTTTCTAGGATCTTGTTTAGAATTGCTTGTAGTGCTGGTTTGGTATTCATGTAGTTTCTCAGGTGTTCTTTGTCATGGAAGTGTCTTATTTCCCCCTCCATTTTGAAAGAGAGTTTTGCTGGATACATCAGTCTAGGTAGGGCTAAAGGTGTAAGGAAAGTGGGAAGGGTGGGGGAAAGGTAATAAGGGAGAGGAAAAAAATATGAGAAACTGAAAAAATGGAAATAAAGTGTTTGTAAATGGGGAGGGGAGGAGGGGGTGAAGGGAGGGCAGGGACAAGGGGAAAAATGAGAATCAAGACCTATTATGTAAAGGTACAGAATCCCAATGATGAATGTAATTGTATTGTATACCTAGATTGCACCAACAACCTCAATAAAAAGAAAAGAAAAAAAATATTACAAAAGAAACACTAGGACTAGGGATTTAGCTCAATGGTGCCAGCACCTGCCTTGAAAGTGCAAGGTCCCGAGTTCGATCCCTGGTACAAAAAAAAAAAAAAAGACAAACACTAAACTTCTTGTAAGATAAGTTAGGTAGAACTCTTAAAGATATTGGCATAGGAAAAAACTTTACAAACAAATCCTCAGTAGCACAGGAACTAGCACAAAGAATCAACTGGGATCTCATCTTTTTAAAAATTTTTTTTCTTTTATTGATTTTATTGGTACATTTTAGGTATACAGTACAATTATATTCATTATTGGGATCTTGTACCTTTACATGACAGATCTTGGTTCTCATTTTTTCAACTTATTTGTGCCCTCCCTTAACCCCTTCTCCCCTCCCCATTTACAAACACTTTATTTCCATTTTTTCATTTTGTCATATTTTTTCTTTCCATTATTACCTTAAGGGATCTAATCTTTATAAAAAGCTTTTGCACTGTAAGAGAAACCACCAAGAGAGTTAAGAGACAACCTACAAAAAAAAAAAAGAGACAACCTACAATGTTGGGAAAAAATATTACCAGTTGTTCCTCAGACAAAGTTCTATCTAGAATATATAAAGAACTCAAAAAAATCAGACCCCCAAATATAAATCCCCAATTCAAAAATGGGCATCTGAAATGAACAGACATTTCTCAGACAAAGAAGTAAAAGCAGTAAATAAACATATGAAAAAATGTTCAACATCACTGGCTATTTGAAAGATGCAGACAAAAACAACACTGATATTCTACCTCACCCAGAAAGAATGGCTGCTATCAAGAAATCAACCAATAACAAATGTTGGCAGGGTTGTGAGGAGAAAGGAACACTTCTTCATTGCTGGTGCGAGGCAGACTGGTGCAACCACAATGGAAGTCAATATGGAGAACCAGTAGACACACTGTTGGTGTTGGAATCTTTTAAAATTCTTTTTCTTGAAGTCACTTGAATTATATAATTGCAATTAAGTTTATTTCTTCTACATTTGCTCACCTTGTGGATGGAAGATGATGTTATCCTCTCCTAATTTTATGGACAACTACTCACAAGAATTGATTTTTGAGGGATTACTCCTCTCTGGCTTCAGCATACACACAAATCTGGACACAAGGGCACAGGGGTATCCTTGTGTTGCAACCATCAGTCTGGTCTACTTGCTACTCTGCCTATTGGGTTGTCTGCTTGTGAAGAAGTCATCACCTCTTTAACCATGGTGCTAAGTCCTTGACACATCTGAACCAGTAACACCTCTGCTGTTCTTCCCAGTCTGAAGGTGTTGCCTAGAATGGAGTAGGCAGGAAGTACAGGACCAGGCATGTGGAGCAGAGGGAATTGGCTCAGAGGTCCTACTCTTCCACAAATGCCAGGCAAGTTGCACCTGCCCCAGCTCTCCCTGAGGCTTCTGAGCTTGAT